ATAGGTATTATAAAATCAATGTTTTTATTAAATATTAAACGGAAAATGGTTAGATATTTAGTAGCAATATGAGGAATCATTTTTATATATGCAGAAAAAAGTTTCTTTATATTACCATTATTAATATGATATACGTTATTAATAATTTCATCATTTAATTATATTATTACACAAATACTATATACATCTATAGTCTATAAACAAGAAATAGATATGTAAGAGAAAATGTTTTTTTAATTATAAATAAGTAGTATACTTTTAACAAGAAGCAACCATTTCTAATGAAAAATCTAGATTTTGCTTTAAGCACTTTTTATTCTAATTTGCGTAAATAATACTGAATGAAAATTTGAGGTGGTTATTACGGTAACCTACAACTGGTTGCTTATACCTGAACTCTGTATATTCAAAGAAATTTTAAGTTACACTTTCATTAGAAATATTAGAAATATATAAAATAAATATATATTTTATATATATATTCCAAGCGAATTGGAAATTGCAGATGTCTGAATGGCATGGGTGAGTCTGAAGGGATCATAGGGATTCGTGACAGGAGAACTGCTTCACCTTCAAATTTGCCATTCAAAATTGTAGCTTCAAGTACATTGCACATAATTTTTTTTATGACTAATCTTGTGCCGTTGCAAAGTTTAGGTGCATTTAAATTCCGCAGCATAATTATATGTGAGCCAATTTTTAATCTTAAGTTATGTGGTGGCATTCCTGGTAAATCCAGCGAATTCAAAAATTCAACAGGATAGTTGAACGATTCATTTTAGAGACTTTAAACTTTTTAAACAAATCAAAGTAAGCATGAATAAATTTTAAATGTCTAATATAAATGTATATGGATACCAAACAACTGTATAACAATTAAAAAAACATTATCCAGTGGACCAAATTGTAAATCTAAATCATCCTTGAATCCACTTGATCGCACACAAAAAATTTCATCAAAATCGGATCAGCCGTTTAGGAGGAGTTAACTGTCAACACACGTACAGAAGAAGAATTATACTAGCTGACCCGGCGAACGTTGTTTCCCCTTGCAATTAATTTTCCTGGCGTTCGTTGCGTTGCTCTTGACTTTCATTAGCACGTGTAATTGTATCCTGGTTTCTTACATCTTCATTGTTTTCTGCCGATCTATTTAACCTGCGGAATTTAAATGCACTTAAGCTATACAATGTCAGTTTTACAATTCATTTTAGAGATTTTAAAGTTTTTAAACAAATCAAAGTAAGCATGAATAAATTTTAAATTTGAATATAAATGTATATGGATACCAAAAAATAAAAAATTGATTAAAAAGACATTATCCAGTGGGCCTAATTGTGAATCTAAACCTTCCTTGAATCCACTTGAACACACACAAAAAATTTCATCAAAATCGGTTCAGCCGTTTAGGAGGAGTTCACTGTCAACACACGTACAGAAGAATTATATATATAAGATATAAACATAATTTTTAAATAGTACAATGAAATTTGCTGCAGCTTTATGTGAAAATTATAAAATGTGTTCTTCTAAAACTATAAGAATAATAGACTCTTCGTCTTGTAGAGTAGTTCATGTTTACATGTTACACATCTATTACTATTTATAATTACTATTTAAATTTGCTTTTTTATAAGTTAAAAGTTTATTCCTGGACTCATTTATAACATGATTTACTTCATTTAAACATACATAATCATTAAAATCGCTTTTAATTAAGTTGTTTTATATTATAAAACTTTTAACTAAGACAATGCAAAATTTTATCTGCCAATTAAAACGTATAATTCAATGTCTTAATCAATTCATATCTTGTTAATAACAGATGTTGATATTTAGTTACTAAGCTTGACATTTTTGAATTTATTCCAACTTTCTTTCTAAGAGCTATAAAATTATCAGTAAATAGAAAAATTATACTATATTGAGTAGTTCAGGAGTTCATTTTAAAGCTAATCATTTTAAAAGTATTTCGTTATTCATTTATGCTTTTTCATTAAACCTACAATTAGCAGTTGGAGTTATCAAGTTTTTAAATCATAGACTTTTTAAACTTTTCATATACCTGGTTTAAATCTCTATGCTCTTATAGTATATGCCTTCATTTTTTGCTATCTTTTCAACAATATAAACCTCATTTTTAAAAGAACATATTTTACCTGGTCTGTACTCAAAAAACCCGTTTCATTGGCATTTAATATATAGTTTTTTATTACTATAATGCTTGCTGAAGATCATTAAATTATATATTCAAATAAGTATTTCGATCTGCTCAAAGTACGTTTCCACATTAACTGACTAAGTTACTGAAAAGACTAAGTAATCACGTTAACCCACTTGTTTTGGACTTACAATATATTAATTAAGTTTAACTCTAATCGTAATTAACTCCATTCTCAACAAGTGTATATATGTATAAATAAAATGTAAACAACATACGAAAGAATACGAAATAAATCAAAAACAGATCGTTGTTTAAAATAAATCGCGATTAAAGATAAATAAAACTAAGCTTTGACTTCGACGAAACTATAACAACCTTTTCGAAATGAATTGAGCTTTTACTAATTATAAAAATAGTTTTTCAGATTATAAAAATAAGTTTGCATTTAAATAAAAACAATAAAAAAAGTTTATGGCAACTTATATTTTTTTCAAATGAAAAAGTATTTTCAATAACAGCTTGAATCTGAAGAATAAGATCGCATTGTAAGCATATATAAACTAACCGATTCTATTTTTAACAGTTACTTACAGTATAATTATAAATACTTATATTCTTTTTTAGTCATTTAGTCATATGTATATTTAGAAGACGCAGATTAGTTTACTTTAAAATCGACAGGCAAGCAGCTATGTTGGCAGACAGGTAAATAGCGCTATATTGAATAGTCTCGTTTAACTAATGTGGAATATATACTTTTTTTTAGCTATTTGATATTTTCATCACATGTCATAAACATTTTGATGGAGTTATTACGCTCTATTGCTATATGAAACAAAAGACTTATTCTAAAATATAAAAATTTATTCCAAACATATATTCCAATAAGGTAATATTATTTAACGAGATAGTAGGATATATCAAAATTCGGTCTAAAGCTCTGCACTTTTTATATAACATATTAAAATATGAATACGATAACTTATAAAAATAATTATTTTGATACATTATAGGAATATGTTCCTTTGGAGTTACAATATACTATTATTTCGTGGACTACAGTTGAAAAAGTATAATATTGTTCATTGGGGATTTATTATTTATGTATATAGCGTTGAATGCTGAAAATGTCAAAATTTACAAAAAGTTTTAAAGATTGCTTTATCATTATCTACTATGTATAAATCATTATCATTATATACTATGTATGTATAATATAAATTTAAATATCTAATAGTTGCCTAATAGTTAATTATTTTTCAATATAATTAATATTAAAATTCGATTCTAATTATAAATAACTAAAAATATATAAAAAAATAAAATTTTAGGAACACAATATGTTAGGGTTAGGTAAGGGTAAGGTAAGGGTTAATTATTTCAATAAGTAATTAACTATCTTTTAATAATCTAACTTGATATCGTTACGGATCTATTAGATCTATTTGTGGTCTTAGCCGAAAAGCTCTTTGTATAGAAACTTGTTTCTAATTAAATCACATAGCAATAACTACAGCAACTTAAGATTTGATTTAGGAAATATTTTTCAACTTACCAATTTTGTGAGTCCTTGTAAGCTATCACTATTTTTTAATACTCAATATATTTCGATTTTACCATTTACGCCAAGCATGTTCATTGGTTTTAGAGGCAAACAGTTCCAAATTATCTTTTAAATAATAATATATTTTATATATGTGATATCATACGTGACTATACAGTTTATGTAGGACCTAAGTCTGTTTAACAACAGTCTTCCATTCTTCTCTGTTTTTTGCATTTCTTTTCCAATGTCTTATATTCATTACTTCAAAGTCCTGCTGCACACTGTCTTTCCATCATTTCCATCTTGGATGTAAGATATATTTAAAATTCATTATATAATAAACAAATTATATCTTTATTTTGATATATTGTAAATTTTTACATAAAATTTTATGTTATACATTATAAAATAGGAATATTAAAACTTGTGTAATTTAAATACAATTAGTAAAAAACATTAATAATATTTAACATTTAAAGAACGTAAACAATAATTAAAAACAGACATTTCAGATATTGTTTTTCTATATTTTAAAAAGGTTCTAGGGTTTCACTTTGTTCCGAATAACATTTCTGGGACTTAAAATTTCAAGTGTTAGTGACATTAATTGTTAGAAAATTAACATGTAAATCATGCGATTTACTCCTAATAGGTTTTTTTTGTGGAACTACGCATAAATTTGTGTTTTTTGACGATAATATGGTAATTCTTGAAGACGAATATCTGTCAAGTTGTTTCAGAGTTATTGTCAGTTATGCGCCGATAAGTCATCGTTGATGACTATTTCCCCAGAAAAATATTTGAACGAATGATATATATTGAAATAAAAATTTATTCAAAAATTTAATTGTAATTATATTTTGTTTACGCTTACTTTTGTATTATAAAATTCAGTATCAATTATGAAAGTTTTGAATCAGAACTAAATTAATATTAGTTTTTCATAATATTTTCGGTCTTCATAATACGAAAAAATTATTTTTTAAAAATAGTTAAGTAAAATAAAAAAGCAATTCCCAAAATATAATAACAATAATTTGTAAAAATAATTTTATGCTAGAATTCGACATTTTAAAAAATCAAATTAATTTTAATTAAAATCAATTAAATACTTTGAAGCCAATTTATTCGAAGATAATTCCTATAATTTACACAATTTTTATATATAATCAAAAAACGTTTTTATTGCTCATTAGAGATAATTTAGTGAAAAACTTTGAGGGTAAATAATAAAAAAATTTAACCATTGTTTTATTGCCAATAAAATGTTTAATATTTGCAAAAAACAAATACTTTAACTATTGCAATTGTTCACACGCTAATAAACTGTGTGTACGTAAGTAAATAAGTAAAGTGCATACTTGGAATATTTACACTAAAAAGTGCATAAAACTGTAAAAGGAAAGTAAAAACATAGAACAACTACTCAACTAATAAATAAGTGAAAAATATTTGGTTCTATGAAAATCTTAAATTTTAAACGCTTGCCTGCATAAATTTGAACGCTTAATAGAAAATTGAGTCATAAACAGCGAAAGTCGCGCACAACGTGTATGCAGTGTTTGTATGCAAATATCCGTTTCCGTTGAAAATTGAAAAATCAAACAATATATTAAATACGAGTATAAAAACCAAACAAAAATAAAAAAAAGACGAAAAGATATAAAGTCAAGAAAAATTCATTATCAGCAAATAAAGTACGTTTTATACTCATTCAACCGCATTTTAAATCTGCGATTATGTTTGAACTTTGTATCTGCAACAACACCGCAAAAATAAGATAAAACCCAAGGGCAGACGTCAAATTTGCAATTGCTTAATGCTTTATAGCAATCAGCAAGGATACAACAATAAAATCCAAAAACAGTAAACAACAAAGTAAACAGCATACAGTAAGCACGAGTATCTCAGCAGCATTCTTGCCTCGAATTCAGAAGTGAACTTTTTAAACGGAACAATTTATTTTTCTCCATAAGGTGAGCTTAATATTTACAACCAAACCGAAAAACAAAATAACACTACAAGCAAAATAAAATATATTTCTAAATAAATAAAAAATATGTTTAGAGAAAAAAACAATACAGGTATGTTGCCTTTTGCCAGTAACAAAAGCACACAAAGTATTTTACAAAAACTTGCCTGCCTACCCCCGTAAAGTTAGCCCCTGTTGAGATTACTTTTAGTTGATAGCAGATTTTGTGAAATACTTTTATTTGCGTATCTTTGATTGAGCAAAATTCGTAGAATGTGTTAATGTAAACAGAAAATAACTTGGGGAAAAATTGTGAAAAATCAAAAGACAATAAACAGGAAATCTGCGCTTGGGGAGATGAAATGAAAAATATTGCAATTCTGTAACATAAAACTGTAGTAATGATATGGCAGTATTTGGCAAAATTAGTACAAACAAATGAAACTGAACCCTAAAAGAATTTCATATAAATTATTTTTTAAAAATTGTTATGTTTATTGCTTATATTAAATCCCTAAGTACACTAACAAGTATTAAATAGTAAAGACAAGAATTATCAATATAAATGTTATATATCGGATTCGTTATAACTCTTTGCTATTATTATTATAACAGTTACTATCGAATTTCATATAGTCAATTGATCGATATATATACGTCCCGTGACTTTGATCAGAGAAAATGTGCTCTGTCCCTGTTTTGCAGTGAAGCCGGTTGCTTCTATGTGATCTATTATAATAGATTATTATCACCATTCATAAATAATTAATGATAAAAGTTCAGTTCCGTTATTGGTTTTGTTATTGTTATTACGAAACTAGTTGAACTTATTACTCTTAGACTAATCTTTACTATTGTTATATTTTTTATAAATCTAAACAAAATTTTATTGTTAAGAACAAGAATTTTTCTTGTATTGTATCTATATTCGATATTATTGTTAAGAGAACTGGCAAAGACCATTATTTTTGTTGTTTTATTTTGTTTATCTTTTATTAACATAACCAGTCAATTAGATATTAGTGTGTTGTTTGTAAAATTAGAAGTAAGGATGAATCGGTGTCTTAATTGAATTTATAATTGTAGTATTTAATTTGAGTCACGGTTTTTATAAGGAATATTAATATTATTACGACAGTGTATGGTTTCTGTATTTATTAGGAAATTTTTAATAATATTGATATACATATCTAATTTATTCTATTAAATAATGCCCATCCTTATATTCAATAAATGCAAGATTTGCAAAACTATTTAATAAATGTTTAGTACTATTGGCAGATTTTGCGACATATTCGATTCCGTATTGTCTATTACGATTATGTATTTTACATCTGTAGTTTCTAGTTCAGCATTATTAAAATAGATAATGGTTCATAATAACCTTTGTAAGTGATATGCATTTAATTTAGTAGGGTAATTGCTACTTATTATAACATTTTCAATGAATGAATTTTTTTTATAAACAATGTTGAGAATTACTACTCGAATAATATATTTTAGTTAGTATAGAGTGGCTGGAAAGAGTAGCTCAGACTGATTGGGATAATACAATTGCCTGCAGACAAGCTAAAGAACCCATGCCGAATCAATTAAAAGCCAGACCTAGGCAGCTATTTATACTGAACACAAGTGGCATCCGGCTTATCACAGAGTTTCTCACTGAGCATAACGGAGTTGAAAAACATCTATCGAAACTAGATATTACTAGAGACGATAGCTGCACACTTTGTTAGGAAGAAAATGGAACAGCAGAACACATTCTGTGTCACTGTGATAGTCTCGCCATACTCAGACTTCGGCATTTATCAGCTGGCTATCCACCTATAACGAAATTAGGCAACATCTCTCCAAAGGACATAATATCGTTCTTAACTGTTACTCTTCTGTGGAACTAAAGTGGGTATTTTACAATAATCCTCAAAGGATGTAGTGATGTGATGACAATTTCCCAACTCGTTTTAAAATCTAATTTAAATCTAGTAGAGTCTCAAAGTTTTTATACATTTTTCGTTACAAAGAGCGTTGGAGATGTGTTCTAATCTGTCACACTGAAGATCTTTTCAACAAAATCTGATTTTAAAAAAAATTTATATTCTTGTGAGCAGATTAATTTATATTCTCGTAGGTTTTCATCAGCAAATTATTTGTTATCTACATTAAAATTTTCTTCAAGCATTTAATTAAAATATATTAATATCATAAAATCACTATTATATAAAATATATGTTTTACTTCATACACACACACCTTAAAGCTATAAGTCGCAATCGCAATAGTGATTAATCAGTCTGCTCCCATTAAAATTTCAATATTCAAATTAAATTTAATTGTTTGATTGTATGAGTAAGTCTGCGCTAATATTGATGAAATAAGATAGTAAAGAGAAACCTGTTAAAAATCATTACTTGCACTTCCTGACAGTTTTAATTATTTTATGTAAATTGATATATATTAATAAAATATTAAATAATAAGTTATAAAAAAAACTACTTATACTTTATGTATTTATTTATGCAAATTTTTGCACCTGCACTCGATAGAAGGCGTGTGAAAACCGAAATGGCGTCAGTCAGATAACCAAATGGGAAAAGTGCTTATAGTTTGGCCTGAAAATGTACAACATTTATTCAAATTTATAGTTTTGCACAAGCAAATTTAGGTTATATTTACCATTATGTTTATTTTCTTTAAACAATGAAATTGAAAGTTTATTTTTCTTGTACAAAAATCACACAATTCGATTTTATTTTGATACAAAATATCAAGGAAATTTAAAAAAATCTGATAAAAGCCAGTTCTTTTTGTGTTTATGTTAAGATATGCAAAAAAGTGTTCATTTTCTTTAGATAGTTTTTTTATTTCTCGCGCAAAGTAATTGTATGCATAAAAAATCACGAAGAACTCTAATTTATGCCACTCTTAGTCTTACTTTTCTTCTATTTAAACAGTTTTGCTTCATAACAACCAAGTATTGAAAATGTGCATTATTTTAATATCTTTTCTTACCGCTTTTTTTAGAGCGGATAGCCTTGGCAGCAAATGAATTTAATTGATTATAATTTAAATAAGTTTAATAAATAATAAAAATATTGACTCTAGAATAAGTATTTTTAAAGCATTTACTTACTTACATTAATACACATACATACTTGCAAAGTTTTGCTTTAAAGCACAATTAAACAAGCTTTCAACTTAAATCAGGAAGTAAGATTTAAACAGAACACCTTTTTTGAATAATAACAAATAAATTCCTTGGTTAATATGCATTAGATTGAATTTTTTATATTTTACATATATTAAATTAATGACAGTAACATATGTAGTGAATACTAATAAAATATTAATTTTAATATATGAATAAAAAGTAAAAAATGTTTAATATTCATATATACTACTGCCAAGTGAAGGTTAATTATAATAAGTATGAGCAGATAAGGACTATTGATGATATCATTTATAAAGGATATAATTACTACTTATTATATTAATAATTACTATATAAATAATTAATTAATTATTAATACTAATATTAATTTTGAATTGTGTATGCAGGATTAGATCAATATTATGTAGTTGAACACATATATTGCAGCGAAAATTCGCACAAAACTTCCAAACTGTTTTAAGTACACTATTATAGAGCTATACTTGGAGTTTATTAGCCCGTAGATTTTTTACTTCTTATTTGGTTCAAAGATTAATACTTTAAAAATTTTCGGTCATTTCTTAGGAAAATACTAATAATTTTGAAATTTTTATGCATTTTATCAAATTATTTTTATACATATTATGATCCTATTATACTGCTAACATTTTTTGTGAAATAACTTTTTATTTAGCATACAACGTTCTACTGTAAACCATCCCTGAAACTATCTACTTAGTGTTCCTTACAACGTAAAGTCAGACATTTGCTAAAAGGAAGTTGATTATAAAACGTAATGTTTTAAATTATAAATTTTTATAAATTACAATTATAATAACTGTAATGCAGAGCCCTAAACGGACCATCCATCCGTCTTAGTGTTAATTTAAATTATAGTTTAATATTTATTTATAAGTACATAACACACTTAAAGACTTTTATTCATAACAGTGTATCTATAACATTTTTATTATTTGTTATTAATAATAAGTACACTTTATTATAATACATTTAATAAATTTAAGTAAGAAGTGTTCCTTATCAACGAAATTAACTCGCTGATTGTTAATCGGTTCTATGGAATTTTAAAGTCGGTTTAAAGGTTTTGTTTTTTACGATTTTAACTTTTATTTCGTACGTTGTATTTTATATATCTCTATCTATAAGTATTTCGGTAAATAGCTTTTGAATTCCTAAAATTCCGAAAGCGGTCGAAGTATGTTAAGTTAACTAATCTTTGGCAATTATACAACAATAATATTAGCTAATATATTGATTTCTATAAATGAAGTGTAGTGTTTGAAAAGCTTTCCAATGATATACTTCAATTAATTTAAATAAACAAAGCCAATTAAGTAATGAAATAAATGATTTCTGCACTTATTTATTTATTTCACCTACGTGAATTCCGTAATTTATAAAATACATAAACTACTGCATTCCTTTAAATACAGCTGGCAATTATTGCCTTGAAATAAAAATCATTCAAACATGGAAAACTATTTAAATATATTTGAACGTTAATTGAAACATTCTACGCTATAACACAATAATTTATTAATAAAATAATTATTTTCGTACACCGTTCTATAAATACAAGTATTTCGTTAAGCCAATAATTTTCTCATAAGAAAATTAAAGGTAATTTAATGCAGCTGCAAAGGAATTTGAATACTACGTTGTTCTGGGCTATATTGTATTGTATTAAGCGGTATTGTAGATTTGCTATTTTATTGTTGAATAATGAAATTGACTAACGATAAATTGTAACCCACGCCCACTCCACTTAATTGAATTTGCCATTTAAATTGGCGTATTTTTAAATTAAACATAAATAATGGTCAGCATGTTATATG